CTCAAAAAAAAAAAAAAAGGAAATATTAAAATGTTCTGTATAAAAAAGTACCATAAGCAAAATCAAAAGACAGCCAACAAACTGGGAAAGATCTTTGCAATGGACTTTTGCAATATGACAAAGGACTAATTTTCTACGTATGTGGCTACAAAGTTTGCTTAGAAATCATTAAGAAAGAGACCACTGTCATAGTTTGGGCTGCTATAACAAATTACCCTAGACCAGGTGGCTTATAAACAAACGAAATTTCTTTCTCATAGTTCCAGATGCTGGGAAGTCTGAGATCAGGGTGCCAGTAGGGTCAGGTTCTGGGTAGGACTGTCTTCCTGATTCCTCACATTGAGAGGAGCAGAGAGTGGAAGCAAGCTCTCCTATCTCTTATCGGGGCACTCATCGCATCATGAGGGCTGACTACCATGACCTGATTATCTCCGAAAGTCTCCATCTCTAAATATCATCACATTGGGGATTAGGATTTCAACATACTAATTTTGGTGGGACACATTTAGTCCATAGCAGCCATCAAATCAAAAAGCAGACAAAGAACTTGGACAGTTCACAGTAAAGGAAATTCAGTTTGCTCTTAAACTCGAAAAGATGTCCAGTCTCTTTCAAAAGAAAAGCAAATTAAAACTATAAAGAGTTCTGGTTTCTTACCTATCAGGTTGGCTAAGATCAAAAAGTTGGAGAACGTGTGTGCGTGTGTATGTGTGTATGTGTGTGTGTGTGTGTTTGTGTATTTTTTTTTTTTGTTTTTGAGACAGAATCTCACCCAGGGTGGGATGCAGTGGCGCCTATCATGGCTCACTGCAGCCTTGACCTCCTGGTCTCAAGTGATCCTCCCACCTCAGCCTCCTGGGTAGCTGGGACTACAGGTGTATGCCACCATTCCTGGCTAATTTTTAATTTTTTTGTAGAGATGGGGTCCCACTATATTGCCCAGGCTGGTCTTGAACTCCTGGCCTCAAGTGATCCTCCTGCCTTGGCTTCCCAAAGTGCTGGAATTACAGGCATCAGTCACCACACCTGGTCTAAATATATATATATTTTTTCACTGGGATTACAGGTGTGAGCCACTGCACCTGGCTCATATGTGTGTGTGTGTATATATATTTTTGTTTTGTTTTGTTTTGTTTCTTTTTCTTTTAGAGACAGGGTCTCAGGTCTCACCATATTGTCCAAGCTGGTGGTGAGCTTCTGGCCTCAAAAGATCCTCCTGCCTCAGCTTCCCAAGCAGGTGGGATTATATGTATGAGCCTCTATGCTCAGCTGGAGAATGTCATTTGGTCAGGGTGTGCGGAGATAGGCACTCATGTATTACCGATGTGAATGTAAATTGGTGCGGCCACTTTGGAAAGCATTTTGGCAATTTAGAAGGCTTAATTACAAAGGCACGTACCTTGATCCAGTAATACCACATTTGTGAATTTATGCCACAGACTTATTTACGTGGTGCGCTAAAATTATAAATAGAGATAATGATTGCAGCACGGTTTAGAGTAGCAAAGGACTGGAAACAATCTCCATGCACTGATAAGGCAAGATGTAGGGAGGAGAAATGGGGAGTGACTGCTCAGATACAGTGCCTCCTTTGGGGGTGATGACAGTGTTTTGGAACTAGATAGAGGTGCTAGTTGCACAGCTTTGTGAGTTTTCTACATGTCACTTAATTGCACACTGAAAAATGTTAAATTTGGGCTGGGGGCAGTGGCTCATACCTGTAAGCCCAGGATTTTTGGAAGCCAAGGTGAGAGGATCTCTTGAGGCTAGCAGTTCAAGACCAGCCTGGGCAACATAGTGAGACTGTATCTCTACAAAAAAATTTAAAACTTAGCCAGGCATGGTGGTGCTGCGAACCTGTAGTTCCAGCTACTCAGGAGGCTGAGGCAGGATGATTGCTTGAGCCCAGGAGTTTGAGGCTACAGTGAGCTATGATCACAGCATTGCTACCTGCCTGGGTGACACAGTGAGACCCTGTTTCTTTGGGGGGGGGGGGGGAGTTAATTTTATGATGTGTGAATTTTATCTCAGTTTTTATTATTTATTTTTATTTTGTTATTGTTTTTTGCGACAGAGTCTTGTTCTGTCGCCCAGGCTGGAGTGCAGTGGTGCGATCTCCACTTACTGCAACCTCCGCCTCCTGGATTCAAGCGATTCTCCCACCTAACCCTCCCAAGTAGCTGTGACTACAGGCATATGCCACCATGCCTGCTAATTTCTTTGTATTTTTAGTAGAGATGGGGTTTCACCATGTTGAACTCCTGGTCTCAAGTAATCTGCCTGCCTCAGCCTCCCAAACTGCTGGGATTATAGGCATGAGCCACTGTGCATAGCCATACCTCAGTTTTTAAAAAGGCAAGATGTAGAGCAAGGTTTACTATTCTTTGGGTTAAAAATGTGGCTGGGGACAGGGAATGATAGTGCATATGTGCTAGTATATTAGTGGAATATTTCTGGATGGATATATAAGAAATTGGTTAGTATTGCTTCCTGGGAAGGGAACTGGGGGGCTGGGGTGCAGAAATGGGAGGGAGTGTTACTTTTCACTGGCCACCCTTTTGTGCTATTTGATGTATTTACCATGTGCATGTGTGCATTACTTATCTAAAAAAACAAAACTGTTCAGCTTAGGCTTTGTGGGTTGTACTGTACTTAACTCTTCAGGAACTAGCACTTATTCTTTATTTCTTTTATTCCATTCTCATTCACAGTCTATAATCAGAGATTTATATTATGTTGTTTGCATTTTCTAGGAAGTTTTATTCAGTGTATGGGTCTGGTCAAAGAGCTTTTGATCTGTTCAATCCAAACTTCAAGTCTACCTGTCAACGGTAAGCCATTTTATAAGTCCTAGGCTATTCATATTATTTTTTAAGGATTTCGTTATCCATTTGATACTGTGTAACAGCGTGTCTTAACAACGCTTACAAACAGACCTAAAATGTGACTGCTTGGAATTACAGGTTTGTGGAGAAGTACACTGAGCTGCAGAAACTTGGAGAAACAGATGAAGAGAAGTTATTTGTGGAAACAGGGAAGGCTTTATTGGCAGAAGGTGTCATTTTAAGACGAGTTGGCGAAGCAAGGACTGTGAGTAGTTCATTGTTAAAATTGTTACTGGGTTTATAGTTGTCCCTCAGTATGCACAGGGGTTTGGTACTAGGGCCCCTGCGGATACCAAAATTCACGGATGCTCAAATCCCTTTTATAAAGTGCTGTAGGTTTTGCATATAACCTACACATATCCTCCCATATACCTTAATCATATCTAAATCACTTACATAACACAATGTAAATGCTATATAAGTAGTTATACTCTATTTTTAAAAATTTATATTTTTTTATTGTTATTTTTTTATTTATTTACTGCTAAAATATTTTTGATCTGTGGTTTGTTTAATCTGCATATGTAGAACCTGCAGATGCAGAGGGTTGACCAGAGTTGCCAATCTGATGGAAGTTAAAGAGAGACTTGGTTTTCTTTCCCTAACCTTGGCTTATGTTCTTAAACTCCAGGTCAAATACTGTTACACTGAATATACTAGAATTTTGTGGTAATGAGTGCTACTTGAAACAAGTGAGTCGTCATTAGGGCTTTTGAAATTGTGGTTCTATAGACTTTTTAAAATCATGTTTACTATTTGTTATAGTAGAATTGGATCTGAGATGTTAGTGCTAAATTTTTCACTCAGTGATAGAATATACCTAGTTATATATCTTTAGCCAATTAATTGAGTGAAAATATAACACCTGTGTGATACTTACATCTGGTCTTTTAAGCAACATGAAGGTAGTCACGATTCCTGGAAATCCGAACACTTGAGTGTCAGACCACAGACTGCGGTGGAAGAGAACGAGACTCAGAAAGAAGTTCCACAGGACCAGCATTTGGAGGCACCTGCAGACCAGTCGAAAGGTCTCTCGCCTCCCTGAAGGACCTGTATACTGTGTATGCTGGCATTCACACTACTCACTGGCTGAATGTTGAGCTATTTTTAAACAGTTGAACTGTGTAAATGTTTCCTGATCTCTAAGGTATTATGTTTGCCTTCTCTTAGTTATTTCTGGGTTGTCATAAAGCTCGGTATCATAGTTTGACAGAAGCAGTTATGCGAACTTTTATGTTAGGACATTACTAAATAAAGAATTCCCTAGCTGCTTATAAAGTAAATTTACTTTGAATTGTAAATAACATGAAGAAACCTTTATAAAGATTGTTCAAATGGGACTCAGTCTGACTAGGCTTGCTTTGATGTTTGTTAGTATGTGGGCTGGCTACATTTGATTCCCTGGTACATATTTCTTCTGATCCATCAAACTTCTACATGTACACATGGTGTGATCCCTTGGCTAACTGGTTTTGTCTGCAGAGAATCTTTGTACTTCTTGCTATAGAATGATTATCTCTCCACTTGAGAGGCCAAGCTGACTTGCGCTTTGTGGTAAGAGTGAGGACCTGTCATTGCTAATGCACAAAGGCCAAAACTGTAACTTTAATGTCATGGATTGAGTGTGCTGGAGACAGTTAACATAGGTCTGCACAGACTAGGCTGTTCAGTAAATACTTGCTGAATGAATAAGTGAATGAATGGTTATATCCAGCTAAAGACTGGATTCATATGGTGTAGATAACAGGATTGCCAAGAAAGGAGGCAGCTAATTTAGGTGATGCTCTCCACCAGCATCCACCTGCCTCCCTGGGGCCAAGGTGTACCTACAAGTCTTTATCAACTGCCCTGCCTTCCTCATTTCCCTAGGTTTTACTAAATACATGAAATATCCCTCTGAGATTGCAGCCTTTGTATGTGTGGTCAAGCCAGTGGTTTTCAGCTGTCAGTAGTAAGCTGCTTCAGAAATTCCCTATTTTAAAACTCATGTAGCTTTTCTATCCAGTGGTTCTTTGTGTGTGGTCTCGTCTCTCCTGGTACGCTGTGAGGCAGGTCCACATCTCACAGTCTGGACATGGTACACATCCATGCACGTGGGTGCTCAGTTATGCAGGTGAATGAATACATGAGGCAAAAGCAGCTCTCAGCCATGCTGCTTCCCCCTCGACCTTTATCACTGTTTCACAATTGCTTGCATTTGGAGAATGCTTTGCTTTTTGGTAGGGAAGTAAATTTCATCCATTCAAAGACATTACACAACCATTGAGACCAAACATCGGGCCAGACCTTGGGAAGAGGACTTAAAAAGCAGATGAAAGACACAGTCTGTTCTCAGAGGAACAAAGAATTGAGGGGTCACTCATCTCTTTAAACCTTAGGTTTCTGGGTTTTTAAGGGCAGGGTTTTTTTTGCCACAATGATGAAGACTTAAAAAAATTTTTTTCCTTCATGTCTGGGTTGATGTCCCATTTTTGTTTGTTTTCCTCCTCTTGTAGATTTTTAATTTTTTTTTTTTTTTTTTAGCGATGGAGTATCACTCTGTTTCCCAGGCTGGAGTACAGTGGAGCCATCTTGGCTCACTGCAACCTCCGTCTCCTGGGTTCGAGCAGTTCTCCTGCCTCAGCCTCCCGAGTAGCTGGGATTACAGGTGTATGCCATGAAGCCTGGCTAATTTTTGTATGTTTAGTAGAGACAGGTTTTACCATGTTGCCCAGGCTGATCTCAAACTGCTGGCCTCAAGTGATCCACCCGTCTCAACCTCCCAAAATGCTGGGATTACAGGCGTGAGCCACCATGCCTGGCCTTACATTTTTTAAAAATTTTAGGAGATGGGGGTCTCACTGGGTCACCCAGGCTGGGTGCAGTGGCGCATATGCCGCTGCAGTCTTAAACTCCTGGGCCGAAGCCATCCTGGCTCACCTCCCGAATAGCTAGGACCACAGGCATGTGCCACCACGCCTGGCTCTGTAACCTTTTTTTTTTTTTTTTGTAGCAATGGAATCTTGCTATGTTGCCCAGGCTGGCCTGATCTCAAACTCCTGGCCTCAAGCGATCCTCCTGCCTCAGCCTCCCGAAGTGCTGGGATTACAGGCCTGAGCCACTGTACTGGGGCTGAAGACTTTTAAAGAAGTTATTTGTTGCATAATTCTTTAAAAAAATTATACATGCACATGGTTCAAAACTTAACAGTAAAAAGCTAGTCTGCCACCCCTGTTCACCAGTCACCCTTTTTCCCTTCCCTGAGGCCACCACTGTCACAATTTCCTTGTGTGTTCTTCCAGAAATATTTTGGGCATGGATGGGACACTATGCATACTGTTCTGTACCTTGCTTTTCTAGTTAATATGTCTCAGAGATCCACTGTGATTTAATCAGTGCCCGACTGAAGAAAGTGTTCTTTGTTTTACTGTGTTGCAAATGGGCTGCTAGAGTTACGGGATGCTGGATCAAGGAGTAGATCATTTTGAGTTTGCAAATCTTCGTCCATAGAAATTGTGCTTAACTAGACTCTCATAGCAATGTATGAGAATGCATTTCCCTACACATTCTGATCTTGTTAAACCAGACTGGGACTCTGGACCAGAAGGGAAAGACCATCCCTGTATAGCAAATTTCTGGATGGGGAAAAAAGCTGCTGTCACTCATTGACTTCTTTAGGTTGAGTCTCAGTGATCAAAACATAGTGAAAGGTGTGAAGCTTACTCTGGAAACTCAGAACTATTCCCACAGTTTGGGCAAAAGCCATCATCAGATCCCCATCACGTTTTGGAGAGAATGGAAGCATGACTGCATTCTTGGCTCTAAAGAGCTTAAAATCAGGCCGGGCTCCGTGGCTCACGCCTGTAATCCCAGCACTTTGGGAGGCCAAGGCGGGCGGATCACCTGAGGTCAGGAGTTTGAGACCAGCCTGGCCAACATAGTGAAACCCCATCTTTACTAAAAATACAAAAAAATTAGCTGGGCGTGGTGGCGTGTGTCTATAATACCAGCTACCTAGGAGGCTGAGGCAGGAGAATTGCTGGAACCCAGGAGGCAGAAACTGCAGTTGAGCTGAAGTCGTGCCACTGCACTCCAGCTTGGGCGACAGAGCAAGACCTTGTCTCAAAAACAACAGCAACAACAACAACAAAAGCTTAAAATCGAGTTGGGACCACAGGAGTGACTTGTGAAACAGCAAGATGAACAGGAATCCTTTTAAACTCTGATATAAAAGTACAGTAGAGGTTCAGGGGCAAGGAATCAGTTCTGGATTTGTCTAGGAATACTGCATGAGACCCTGGAAAGGCAGTGGGATGGACATGTACATGCAGTTTCTTTGGCCAGGAACACCGTCCCTTCCACCATAGTCTGTAGGAATTGAACCTTCCGTGCCCTTTTCAAATGGTGTCTGTGCTCAGAAACTACATAATATCAAGTCCCTTACTGAACCCCCTACAGATTGTATTCATAAGGTGCTTCACTGCTGTTGGTCACCTGGTCTACTGTTTGTACTCCTGCCTCATTTACTGTGGCCTTCATTCAAGTAGTAATGATTCTCTACCTATTAAGAGTATAGGGTGGGTGTGGTGGCTCATGCCTGTAATCCTAGCACTTTGGGAAGCCAAAATGGGCAGATCACCTGAGGTCAGGAGTTTGAGACCAGCCTGGGCAACATGATGAAACCCTGTCTCTACTAAAAATACAAAAATTAGCCAGGTGTGGTGGCAGGCACCTGTAATCCCAGCTACTTGGCAGGCTGAGGCAGGAGAATCGCTTGAACCCAGGAGGTGGAGATTACAGTGAGCTGAGATCATGCTACAGCACCCCAGCCTGGGCAACAGAGGAGACGCCTTCTCAAAAAAAAAAAAAAAAAAAAAAAAAAGTACTATAAAAGAGGGCAGACATTCCTTTTTTTTTTTTTTTTTTTGAGATGGAGTCTCGCTCTGTCACCAGGTTGGAGAGCAGTGGTGCGATCTCACCTCACTGCAAGCTCTGCCTCCTGAGTTCACGCCATTCTCCTGCCTCGGCCTCCTGAGTAGCTGGGACTACAGGCGCCCACTACCACGCCCGGCCAGTTTTTTGTATTTTTAGTAGAGACGGGGTTTCACCGTGTTAGCCAGATGGTCTCAATCTCCTGACCTCATGATCAGCTCGCCTCGGCCTCCCAAAGTGCTGGGATTACAGGTGTGAGCCAGCGCGCCCAGTCAGGAGGGCAGAAATTCTTATTCTTTTAACCCATTGAAACATTAAACAGCCTTTCAGGAGCAGACCTTCCTACGGGTTTGCTGAATCCAAGGCGCGAGGAAGGCATATATCCAGGTTACAGCGAAGTTTGCACCAGACAAGTAAAGAAGATTTGGGTTCTAGATCTAGATACTCCAGGCAGTTTTTACTGTGTGACCCTGTGCCTGTCACAGTATTTCAGCCTGTAAAATATGGACACTGTTTGCCTTTTTGGCTTCCAGTTAGTGCTGTGAGGATTAATTGAGATATTGAGTGCAAAGCTCATTTGTAATGTGTGGCAGGTGGTATTATTGCTATTTTGAGCAGTGGTGGAAAAGCCCATTTGAACAGATAGGATGAGATAAGAGCACGGTGGCCTTGACAACTACCTGGAGGAGCCAGTTGGGTATGGGGAGGTTTGAGCAGGGAAAGAATGTAGTGAAAGCAGTGTCAGGTCAAAGAAAGGTTTGCCTAGGAGTGATATAAAGAATGGGATGGAGGAGTGGGCAGGGAAGGAGGAAAGAGGAGACATGTCAGAGGGACCAAAAAGGAGGCAGCAAGTCCAAGGTCACAAACCTGAGTGATTAGAAAACTTAACACCCAGTTGGTGACGTGGAACTGGTGTTCTCCGGGGAGAGAGCTTCAATTCTCAACCAACTAAGTTGAAGGTGATGGTACCATGTAAGTGGCAGACAGAGATAAGGGATAGGTGTCTACAGTGGTAAGATTTGGAGCCAGGAGAATAAACGAGCTTTCCAAGGGTAGTGGAGAGAGACCCAGGATGTGGGGGGCTGGCAGGTAAATGCTTTAAGTGATAGAATAGGAGGAATGAGAAAGCTAGCAAGAGAAATTCACATCCCACATCTTCTATCACTTACATGTCCAGACTTGTTGAAGTGGTCCCGGATTCACCAAATTTTATAGAGCTCTGCCTTTGCTTTTATTGGGTAGGCCTGATTTTTGATGGTGTCCTTAAAAGGCTAGCCCGATTCTTCTTGTAGTTTTGTAGAACACTTTGTATCGAGAGTTCTCTGATAACGAAAGTGGTATTACAGAATAATCTGCCCCCGAAGGATTCCTGATTTTGTTAAAGTGATACCTTTCTCTGTAAATAAATGATGGTGTGCCACTTAAAAACCTTC